GGCGGGGGGTGGCGGGGCCCCCGCCCCGCCAATGGGAAAGCGGAGAGTCGCTCTCGGTGCTCACGTTCTCTCCGGTGCGTGTAGGGGAGATATGCGGCGGGGGGGGCACACGCAGCAGCGTGAGCTCACAGCGCGCTGCACCCAGCCTTCTAGCTGCCTGGTGAGAGGCCACGTCCTGGATCCATCCTTCTCTAGCCCGTCAGCTAAACACCAGCATCCTCCCCCTACTCCCACCCATAACAGGCAGCCACGAGAAGAGGGTTGGGGTTACAACTGATGAGCAGACAGGTGATTTGTGGTAAAGTTTCCTTTTTGGAACAGTCCTGTGCGGTAGAGCTATGACGCAATTAGAAATATCGCCACGGGAGCCCTGATAATAGGTAGCAGGTTTTAAACAAACAAAGGAAAATATTCTTCATGCAGCACACACTGTGAAACTCCGTGCCAGAGGATGTTATGAAGACCAGGATTTCAATAGGATCCAAAAAGGAGCTAGATGAATTCACAGAGATTAGGGTCATCCATATTTATTAGCCAGGATGGCTAGGAGTGGTGCTGGAAATGGATTACAGGAGAAGTGGACAACGGGAAAACTATCATGTACTTAGTTCAGGTGGTAACTCTTCATTATTGACTAACTCCTTCTTGTTTCCATAGTTTATTATTGACTGCTCAACAATGGAGCCAGCTCAGTTTCAGTAAGATGATGAACAGCCTAGCACAGCTGAATATGCAGAATTTTTAAGTACTCTCCCCATGGCCTTATGTTTCAAGGGTCTCTAATTCTGGATGGCTTGGCAGATGGATGAAAAGCATACATTAATGATTGTTAGGAAGTATCACCAACAAACATTCAAGTCACTCTCTGCAACATGAAAACTAGAAACTTACCAGTGGGCAGAACCACCACCAACTAAAAGGACAAAATAAATATTGTCTGTTCATGAGACATCAGATGCAGCACAGGAGACAAATTAAGAGTTCCCAAGTTTTGACTGTTCAGTAATCAGTCACACCCTGCTCACTTCTGTAAATTAGGGCTTATCTTCACACAAAGTTGTACTAGTTTAATTAAAAGTGCAATTTCAGATAGCCATATTGGAACAGAGTACTCAGATATAAACCTGTCCTACAGTAGTTTAATTTAGGTTAGCTGGAAACAGGTTTTAGTTAAACTGAAATAAGTCCCTAGGGCTGTCTAAACTACATCCCTTTTCTCAAAAAAGGGATGTAAATTAGACACATTGATATTGCAAATGAAATCAGGATTTAAATTTCCTGCGCTTCATTTTGGAGTACAGGATCTTTCGAAAAAGGGTTTTATTTTCTATTGATCCCTGTCTAAATGGCCGTTTTTCTTTTGAAAAGCCCCGTTTCAGAAAATACACGGCTGCCATTATGCAAATGAAGCACAGGAAATTTAAATCCCAGCTTCATTTGCAATAGCGAAGTGTCTAATTTACATCCCTTTTTTGAGAAAAGGGATGTAGTTTAGAGACAGTCTAGGAGAGTTGCTACATAGGACTGTAAGCTGATTGAAGTTACACCAGGTCAGTGTGTATGTGCAGACAAAGCCTAAGACTCTCTGCTGTCCTTGGATCTGTGTGCTAATTAGTTCAAACTGCAATGAGTGTATTTGACATAACACTCTTTTAAAGATTTTAAAAATAACACAGGCACAAAAGGATAATATGCAGATTAAACACCATTACAGCACAACACTACGGTACTGTTAAATAAGCACGGTAGATCATGTATTACAGGGCAGTACACTCCTGACAACTAAAAGAAAGACTGGACCCATCACTCTCACACACACAATCAGGAGATACAAATTTTGCTGATTTCCATGTATATGACTTACCATTGTTGGCAACTGTTAAAATAACTGTGGGAAAATAGAGACTACAGTAGACAAAAATGTCTTGCTGATTAGTCTACCTACCAGCTCAAACATATTTATGTATATACAAAGTAAACAGTTCTAAGTTTGTGGTATATCAATTTACTCAGGGAAGAGAAATAGATATATACTATTTCTAGTTACAATGAATTTAATTAGAACCAACTTTTAGGAATGCTTTCAAAAATCACTATCTAGAACAGAGGCAGGGCTGTGATGCTGTGCGATAAACATTTAGCTTCCCAAGTAACAGAGAAATGATTGCTTTTTAAATTAAATTCAAAAATTCATCTCAGGCTTTTAAAGTAGTTTCTATTCTATAAAGTGAGATTATAGATATGTAGCATAAAAAGACAGGAAATTCAGATGTATCCTATCAGTACAGGAGACTTGAAACAGTGAATGTCAGCAGAGGAACTAGCCACAAATCACTAACCCTTGACTAAAATCAATTTACCAAATCATGTTGTACAATGACAAGGAGAAAGTAAGTGTATTGGACTTTTAAGACACTAGTTATTTGATAAGTTGTGCAAGATTCTTCTGTTATGTTCTTGAATAAAAATGGCATTAGCCAAGATTGATTTCTACAATCAAAACAAAAATCCTGCAGTCTTTTCTCAAGGCCAACTCTTATTGATACGCATAAGGAAAGACAGTGGTCTCTACTTTGTAACACCAGTGCCCGAGTGTTCTACATGGATTTAAATATATATATATATTTTTTAAGGAAATAAATTCACCAAAATATTAAAAAAGTAACTCTCTCAAATGAAAATGGTTTAGCTAGGTGGGGTGCTTAAAATGTTTACAACTACTGGCAAGGTTGTGAGGTACTACAGAAAAGTGTCTGGATTTCTGAAGACGTCCAAGCAGTGTGCAGCAGCAGTCAAAAAAGCAAACAGGATGTAAGGAATAATTTAAAAAAGGGATAGAAAATAAGACAGAATATCTTATTGCCCTTTTATATATCCATGGTACGCCCACATCTGGAATACTGCGTACAGATGAGGTCTCCTCACCTCAAAAAAAGATATACTGGCATTAGAAAAGGTTCAGAGAAGGGCAACTCAAATGATTAGGGGTTTAGAACGGGTCTCATATGAGGAGAGATTAAAGAGACTGGTACTTTTCAGCTTGGAAAAGAGGAGACTAAGGGGGATATGATAGAGGTATATAAAATTATGAGTGGTGTGGAGAAAGTGAATAAGTTATTTACTTGTTCCCATAATCAGGGCTTGCCAAACCGTTCGGCATGCTGCGCATGTGCAGACCACGCTGCGCATGCGCTGACCGTGCTGCGCGGCTCTGCCATCTTGTAATCTACTCGCCACAGGCGAGTAGATTACATTAATTGTTGAGCCCTGCCCATAATATAAGAACTAAGGGCCACCAAAAGAAATTAATGGGCAGCAGGGTTTAAAACAAATAAAAGGAAGTTCTTCACCCAGTGCATATTCAATCAATGGAACTCCTAGCCTGAGGAGGCTGTGAAGGCTAGGACTATAACAGGGTTTAAAAGAGAACTACATAAATTCATGGAAGAAGTCCATAAATGGCTATTAGCCTGTATGGGGAAGGAATGGTATCCCCAGCCTCTGTTGGAGATGGAGGGCAGGAGAGAGACATTACCTGCTCGATTAATTCCCTCTGGGGTACCTGCCATTGGCCACCGTTGGCAGACAGGGTACTGGGTTGGATGGACCTTTGGTCTGACCCAGTATAGCTGTTCTTATGGATTAAAAGAAGGGTTTGGTTTCTATCACGTGCGGATTATGTATCAAAAAAACTTTATTTTGTATAAGTTCTCCATTTGGTTAACATACATCATATTCATGGACAAGCAGCACTTTTACAGAAGAATCTGATGTGAGGCTAATACAAATAAGAGGAAGACACTTGGAATTAGTTTATTTAAAATTAAGTGTATCCAGACATTGGACAGTACCATATGCCGTCATTTGCTTGAGGTTAAGAAATTCCATGTGATATTCAACAGAAGAAACTCTGTTTGAAAAGAGTCATAAGTAGGTACCTTTCAAACTGATTGTGTTAGACTTCAAACAGGGAAAGGGAGGATAGGACTAGGCTAATAAAGTGAAGTTTCTCCATTTCTATTAACAAGCCTAATTAGTTTTAGATTGCTTTCAGCAAGTGACAGAATTTGTGCCTAGTCCTTTTAAAGTTCACACTCAACAATTTCAATGGAGTAGTATGCAGTATTACAGATGAAGGGTAAGGCTTCAAGGAAGACGGAGTTTGTGCTAGGTTTGTGCTCTATGCTTACAATATGTATATTTCCACCTGACAAGAAAAAGCTTTTCTGCCTTGTGAAATTCAGTGACATCCCCTGGCGTTTGCTATCAGTGCCCCAAATGTGCATTTCAATTACATTATTAATTTACAAGACCACAAAAATTATGCTTTCAATGGATTTCAATGAGGAAGAAAATTTCTGAAGTAAAAAAAGCAAAGAGCAGTTGTGCTCTTTACAATTAATTTGTGATGTGTACAAGTTTAGGCCTTGTTTACAAACAAAAGCTGTACCAGGCTAAAATGATGTACATAAACTAGTACAAACCCATGCTTGGACACTGGCTCATAGTTTAGTCAGTCAGCATCAGGACTCTGTATATAGACAAGGTCTTGCACATGCTGATTGCCAAAAAAGAAAATAAACTGATTTTTATTTCAGTAGTGCCCACAATATGCAAGGCATTGCCTAAATGTACATGAATGCTGTCCCTTTCTTGCTGAATCCTGCAATCTAAGTAGAAAAGGGTTTTAGCACAATGGCACTGAAGAGAAAAATGGGTAAATCTTAACATATACTTTGAGGTGAACTGCAGGGCTAAGAGTTAATCTCAACCTTTCAATTGCTGGCAGGGGCACCCTCCGTTTCAGCTCATTGTGGTATTGCCACCCCAAACCTCAAAACACTGTTAAAGTCCTTGCAGTAACAAAGCCAGGACCTGATTTCTAGAGTACTGAAACAGAGAACAAACCTATCTTTACACATCATAAAGATAAAGTAAGAGAAAAGCTTTTTTTTTTTTGCTTTGCCATTAAGACTGTAAAATATATTTCTGTATGTGCTGATTTCCCCAGCAATCTGGATAATGAAGGCATTCTACACATATCTGGAAATAACTCAATTTTTATTTTGGTCCAAAAGTTCACCTTGAAGAGGTAAGATGTGTAAGATTTTCTGATGCCCTCGATCACTATTTGCCAATTCCAAGTGCAGTATAAAAACTGAAAGTAAATAATTTGCCTGGTCTCAAAATGTCTATATCCTCTTCATTTAAATAGAGCTATTCTTCAGCCACTTTTAGGAGAGTTCTAATTAATACAAGCTCTTGAAAACACTAGTAGCGTAAGTTTCCTTCTTTTCTAAAAGCTAAATGATTATATTTATTTCCTGATGTACAGGAAGTTGTAATGGGTGGACACTTGCTACATACCTTTATGCAATTTCATAAGCAGACCAGGATCTAAGTCTGATTATACATCTTGTGAAGTCAGCAACTGTACAAATTATATAGCACTTAAGATGCTGCTGCAACACTTCAGAGGCTTTCGAGCTGGAAGCTCTGAATCCCACAAAATGTATTTTGTTTTATGAAGTACAGCTGTGATTAACAGTTGCAATGAAGAATGTAGAGAGTAAGCCTAAAAATATCTTAACTTAAACATGTAACAAAATGCACTTGTTCATTAGCTTTGCTATGCAAGTGCTTCACTAGTGCCCACATTACTGCTTTATCCTGAATACTAGTATGATGCTTTCAGTTAAAAGGACAGCCACTGGAACATCAAGTAAAAAAAAGAAACCTTCCATTAAGGTTGATCTGACACTCAGATATTTTTACATAGAACTCATTCTGATGCATGGAGCATGAATTCTTCCACAATAACTCGACAGCCTGTATAAGGTACCACATTCATAACTTTAGCCTTAAGACTGCACTAGATACACTGTCCTTCTAAGGAATCACCTGAGGCAATTAGGGATGCATGAGAGAAAAAAAGTCCCTTTACTCTGAATTCTAGGACAGCCAGGAGTAGCTACTCAAATTCTCCAGAGGGCTTAGAGAATAGTCTTTAGATTTTACACCAATGAATTGGATTTATTGTAAATGCCACAGTCACATTGATAGACAGTGCACAGACTTGTATTACCATACATATTTTTGTTACTTAGCATTTCTACTGAGTAAATAAATGCGCTTTGCACAGCCTTCCTTTAAATGTGCCTAAACTAATCTAAAAAAGCAGACAGCATAGCAGAAAAGGGAAACTTAAATTGTAACTGTCTCAAGCAATATAGCACTTCATCCATGTATATAATATACTCTTTTATATTATATACACAGGCATGTACATTTTCCTTAACAGTTAATTCATACCTGAATGTAAAACACTTGCACACCTCCAATACATTTGCCACCTTCACTGCAAGTATAGTTAATCCAGCTATGTGTCAAGAAAGAGGAATGACAGCTTAAAAAAAGACTTCCCCCACAAGAAACAAGTTACACAAAGAATACTGTATCACTACAAGTTTTTATTCAGAAGCCCATCTTTTTTTTAAAAAAAAAAATCTCATTAAGAACTTGTTTGGTCAATCATCTACAACACTTTCTACCAGACACAGAGTAAAAATGGCATGGCTCAGAATCGACCAGATCTTTCACGGTCTCTTGACCGCCTCCTATCTCGTTCCCGTCCTCCTCCTCCTCCTCCTCCACCACCGCCGCCACCGCCGCCGCCACCACCACCTCCTCCTCCACCTCCACGACCCCGATCTCTTGATCTAGAACGACGTTCACGGGACCTTGACCTGGATCTATGCCTGCAAAAAAGCATTTAAAATTGTAGTTCTTAAATATAGTGAAGCATTCTAGCAGAGCAGGAGACTCCCTGTGATTTGCGGAATAGCTATTTGCAGTTCCACAGATTTGCAAACCTGTTTCAGCCTGGAGGAAAGGAGGGGAGAGGGACAGTTGTGATGAGTTCCCCGCGGCTCCCAGTATTTGTGAATTTTGCCATTTGCAGTGGATGAAAGAATGCATGCACCGCAAACGGCGAGGGTTTCCTGTATTCTACAGAGTACCAACGATCAAATGTTGAAATGAAAACACTATAAAGTAAAGGGAGTAGTGTTTGAAATCAAGTAGTGATTCAGTACTTCAGCCACCCAAGAGCCCAGCACTTTCAAGTCTATAAGGCCATCATTAGAGAATTCTTCAGTTTTAGGGTCAGTATGTGTATTGAAAACTTAACTGCAGTCACTTATTTGAATGACCAGAAAAGGGTAAAATCTCTGTAAGTACCCAAGTTAACTGTACTGTTATGCAGAAACCAGTTGAAGCACTAAGAGAAGTCCTTTGTAGCCATTTACGGATTTAAAGGTACTTTGCAACTATAGCCCAAAGTCAGATCCTATTCTTTAGGTCTTCAAAAAGTTGAAGGAAAAAAATCCCCAAATTATTTGCACCAGTTGGGTTTAAAATAGAAATATGAATGCTTACTTTTTACGACGACGTCCATATAATTCACGTCGCAATTCTCGGGAAATAGGCTTCAAATGCATAAAGTTACAGAAACCTCCTCGCGTGCACTCTCTGTGGAGTAGAAACAAATTACCACAAAAAGCATTTCCAATGTATACAATTAGCTTTTCTTCCTATATAAACCTGAGTGGTTAAGCTAACTGATTTGTGATTTTTAATGTAACTTTAAACATTAGGAAGTTTGACTTGATAAAATATCTTAATTGCCCTGAAGTCAGAATTAAATCAGCACATTTTTTTAGAATGATCTGGTATGCCTGGTGAATTAATGTTCAAGAACTAAGATTTTTTTGTAGAGATGAAGAGATTGAGTGGACATGGTGTTGCATGTATGTTGCATGTGAACTGAGCCTGCTCTAGAGATGGCAGTATAACTTGCAGTGTCTTCTCTTATATTTTTACTGAATGCATTGTTTGGAAATGCACTTGAGAAACCTTACAAAGTTAAGCTTTTCTAAGTAAATATCATTAAGCTACCATAAACAAGCAGCAGCAAAAGTTATTTCATTACCCCATTTCATACTGACGACAACAAGCTTCTCTGAAGTCAGTCACAGGTGAAAGCTCAGCATGAATTGGCTGACCATTAAACCAGCGATTGTTCAGATCAATCACAGCCTTTTCGGCATCTTCTTCACGACGAAACTGAGAAGAATGTAAAATTAATATTCTCAATATGTTGCATAAAATAAGTCAAATATTACCATTTAATTACCTGCTGCATATGTAACAGGTATTCAAGGCTTAGCAACAGAACAAACTCCACTTATAGTTTTATCTGCACCTACTCTTAAGCGGGGTTTCAATAAAACACTGACCCCCCCTCCCTTCGGTTATTATTTAAGCAGTAACACTTTAAACACAAACAGGGACACTGGAGAGGATTTATTAGTTTCTCTCCAGACTAAATTTTGTTGAACTTTAACATTCCATGTTTAAAAGACTTGCAGGCATTTGTGTAAGCCTGGGCTTATCAGTTACAGTAATCCAAACAACTCCATGAACTTCCCATTCTCCCCTTGTTGCCTCTATCAGATATAGAGGCAGCAAGTGGGGGTGAGGCCTCTGATGCTAAATTTTAATGCAGTTACATGATTATTAAATTGATATCTAACATCCCTTTTCAAGTGGGCCTTCTTCCAATAATGAAGTACTTTACAATTAATCAAACATGTCTCAATCAAGCATCTAAATTAATAGTTTTATATTTTTTCTGCTCTGAATTTCCACATCCAAATGTAAGCCAAACAACAGTTCATCTATGGTAAATAACTTCACAACTAAAAAGGTGGGATCAAACTATGAAAGCAAGACAGATTCAACTCTAAGAGGTTATATTTTCCACTCTCCCATGTTTGGGTTCTAATCCAAACACATACTTCATCATTCTAATGTACAGATAATTACCTTCATAAAAGTGCTGCCACGTTTTGCAAATGTTAATCTGCTATATATGAAGAACACCCCGAAACAGTAAGAGCTAGCATCACCAAATTTGGTACACCGCTTCCTCTTAAAGCAAGGTAAGGGTTTGGTTGTACCAGGAAAATGGGATATGCTTCTCATAAAACCATATAGAAAAGAGAATAATCAGGCAGGTGAAAGGGGCTTGCTAGCGGCACTCTCCCATTTGGGATTTCTCCAGCCTGGAGCCTCCCACCCCCCAGGTGCCCTGGGGAAAGGTGATGTCTCTATCCATGCCCCCCTCCCATTAGGGTTGAAGCTCCCCCCAGTTCCTACGGGAACACTGCTGGCTGTTGCCCTTTGCCAGGGAGCGATGGGAAAATACAGTTTGCTACATTCATCACTCTGGCTGGAGAGCACAGGACACAGATGAACCTGGACCTGCCCAAGTGGGGGGACATTCACCCCTCCCCCTCCTGTGCCCACTGGAGCTGCAGCAACCATGAAGAGGCACTTCTCACCTAGTCCCAAGCTACTGCAGTGAGCGAGAGAGAGCTGGGGTTGTCCTCTGTCCCTGGAGCAGCCTGCATTCGGAATCTTTCATCCCCAGCCCCACCCCAGAGCAATGATTTAAATGAAGCATGTACAATTTTATTTTGAAAAAAGAATTTGACTTAAGTATCCGAGCAATGCTGGGTAAATCTTGTAGTTGAATACAAATGTTCTTTAGTATCTTACCTTTACATACACATTTCCAACTAGATGATCTCCAAGGTTATCACAAACGTTCATTTCCTCAACTTCACCATATTTTTCTTCCATTTCCGTGAAGACCTCCTAAATAGAGAAATGTATTAAAACTATATTGTGCAAATTAGTAGATTAAGCACACCTATAGTCAATTCATCTTCACTAAGTAGGAGGATTGCTCTCTTTCTCTCTCTCTCTCCCACCACCCTTCGTAGATTAAACTTCTGGGCAGGCATTGTATCACAGCCTGTAGGCATGGACAATATCTAGCACACCGAGTACAAGGAAAAAACAACTTTTCTTTATTTGGAAAATGAAATACATAAGACACTGAAGCAGTGCCTTTTTGAAAGAAAAGCCAGTATTTCAGTCTCCTATACGTCAAAATATAGTGTTTGCCAACACTTAAGTACACTTTTTAGTTGAACTGTACAAGGAAGCAGGATAGAAGACATAAAAATAGATTGTATAGTATTTATAAACAGACAAATTTAAAAAACTAGAGCAGGAACTATGTATTTAATATGTAAAATCAGAGTTAAACAAAAATGGCTATATACTAAATGGATACACACAAGTCAAGCAACCAAATGTCTAATTTGTGTTATTAACCCTCTCCACCATCCTTCCCCAATCACTCTTAGCATCAACCTTCAATTTAGTGAGAACATTCTTTGAGGAAGGGACTGTTTCCTAAAATGTGCATTTAAAGCACTATTTAGAAGTATTTTAAGCAATATCAAAATTAGAAGTGGTAAATATGAGAGAATAATAGTCTGTTTTTAGATCCCATCAAGGAATAGTTGGAGAGTTTATTTTTGTAATTTTTCACTGCCAACTAAACTATATATTTTTGCCATTGCAAAATTAAGAATGTTTGATGAATAATGCATTTTGAACTACATTTCAACCTACCTCAAAGAATTCATCATAATGTTCTTGCATTTCAACATCGCTCACGGCACCTGCAAATTCCAAGTCATATTGATTAGAATCAATATCGAAACAACTGTGAATATACTACAAAATATATTTTAGAGAATAGAAGTCTATTGAAGCATAAGAGATGCCATGTAGTTAATCATTAGGAGGATTAAAAATAACTGAGTAGCTTTGAGTCCCCAAAGAAAGGAATCTCTCAGTACATGATACCAATATGGTAAAATCAAGACAAGTTTTAATCAGCATCCATATTGTATACCCCAAATTTAAGGGGAAAGGATTTATTTTGTAATGTGACTGATTAAATGTAGAACCCCACTCACTATGTGCCAATGGTTTACCTACACAGAAGGCAAGTGCTTGTCATGTTAACTATTTTCAAGTCTGATTATTAAGATCTCTCTTCCTAAAAATGGAGCTCCATTTAAAGATGTTCACTCCTCCAGTGCAAATACACTTGTTTGAGAAATCACTAATGTGAGATCATGATCCATTCAATTTATTCAGGATACAAGATAGGTTTTTCCTCTTCCCTCAGTAAGGAGTAAAACTATATTGCGTTGTGGCAGAAAACATTTCTCCACTTCATTTTAATGTCAATTTATCTTTCTGTAATACTGCAGAATATTTTTTAAACGTGAGAGAGGCTGGGCATTAATGCAAGATCATTTTCATGATCCTAGCTGGCCTTTGCAGGTGATTGCTGCTTGCCTGCTGCTAAAAAACGAACACAAATTTAAATTTTGCTCATTTTTCAAAGCATTAAGTATAGTAAAAAAAATTGCATTAGATATTTCCAGTTCTACACCATTTTATCATACATTTTGTTTAATAAGTCATATACATTAAAGCCAGATTAATTCTTCAGTTAAGTGGCTTTATTACGATCAAGTACTGTAGCGTTAAGACAGATCTGGCACTTCATGCAAGAACAATGTTTTAATCTTTAAAATGCAACAACATTGCTTTACTGAGCAAAACCTGCATTATGACAAGAGGATGATCCAATTATTTGCCTCGGTCGCTATGGAAAAATCAGATGCTCTGAACCCAGTCATTCCTGGATCACAGTGCAAATCATGCCATTTAGCACATCTTTTCATCTTTCCTGAATAATGCTTACTATTAACCAACAAAGTTACATAAACTTTGTGGAACTATGGACAATTTTCCATTATAAAGGTAAAGGGACCTTCCAGATTCAATATGTTTTCTTCTCAAGAGACCCTTGGCTATACAGCAATTTAAAAAACCTCCCACATATTTAGTCAACCACTACTACATAGAGATAGTTCAATAACTAATCATATTCCCTGGGCTGTGTCCACATCAATGATCACAGCATACTAACATCTGATTTAAAAAACAAACATTAATTTGGGCTCCATAGGAAGAAAGGGACAAGGTCAAGCTGGTGAGGACATTCCATTGTCAAACTAAGTTTATAAAAAGAAAAAAAAATTGGAAGCATCTGAGTGTCCCTCTAAGGTGAAAAGGATAGGCATCATACACAGAATTCATATACATTCAAGTTCAAGGACTACCATTTCTGAATCTTGAGAACCCCAACTACTAGGTACAGTATAATCAAGACTATTACTGGTCAAAAAGGCAATATTAATCCTCTAATACTAATCCTCTGAGACAACAATGAAAAGGAAAACAGTAAACCACCAATATAAAAAAGCTACCCACTAAGAACATATGTAGTATTTCAATAGGGACAAAGCTAAAAAATATGGGACGGTTTCAGAAAACCCACTGATAAAAGACAGCTATAACTCTACAATTCCAGGTGCAGTTAGGATCTGTTATACAATTATCCATCTTTCAAGACAAACAAACTAAAGTTTAAATACTAATATTAAACGCTGGTTTGGAGAATCTGTACTTAAAGACTCTTGCAATGTAAGAAAGGTCTGGGCAAATAAAATCTAAACAGCTGCACGATAAACCAAGCAAATTTAGTTCTGTACAAATTAGGTACCAGCTTACTGAGAATTTAGCTGATGTATAGGAAGTGCCAAAGATCCAACAGCATATTTGTTACAATACAAATAGCAATAACACTGTAAACGTCTATAATAAAAAGACTACAGGCCAACAGTACTTTATAAACCTAGGGGAACTTATAAGCAACATTCTATTTCTAAACAAAAGCCCCACTTTGACAACTGACATTAGTAAGCGTCAAGTCAATTTAATCAGGGGCATTAGTTTTGTTAGAAGAAAGATATGCTATATAGGCTAGCCTATAAGTTTATCTTATGAATCACACTTCACTCTGATAGTATCTAATTAAATGCTGGTAACTAATTCGAACTAGCCTATAACTAAGTGGTTAAAAAAGGAACAGCTGAACAAAATTTTATCACCACAAGTTTGATTTTCAATTTGTTATATTAGAAAAATAACACCAATTTTTTAGGTCTAAAGCCCTTAGCATCTTATTCTGCTAGTGTAATTGGTTCAATTGTAATGACAGATCAGTAGTCACAGACTGACAATCTCAGTCATATATCTTCTGTCATGATGCACAGTATAAGACTTTTTGCCCATTTCCTAACTACAAAAGAGTTAAGAAATTAGTTCATAACAATATCCAAACTGCTTCCTTTCCCAGAGTGTACTTTTAAAATTATTTCTTACTATGAAAATATGTAACTTAGTTTTGGAATGTAAATTTTCAAAGCAAGGGAGAATTTTAAACATGCACTTATCCAAAAAGACAGCTGCATGAGTGGCATTTGTCAGTCTATATTTATCTTCCCAAGTAATCACTAAATGGGAGCTGCATAATTTAGTTTAGGACAAATATTTTTGCAAGCAGCCTGAAAATTTCAAATCTGAGCGCTCACAACATTAACATAATGATGGGAACTGTGTTGTGAATTATGTTGACTGTCCTGCTTTTTGAGCAGCGTAGTCTAATGCATACCTTTAAAACAAAGCAAAAATATATTTCTAGGATGCAGGCAAGGGGCAGAGAGATAGAAGGTGAAAAGGAGACAGCAGTGGATCAAAACTGCTTTACAGGAGTTACCATTTCAACCACTTTTTGATTTAATGGACAAATATCCAATTTCTCCTAAGAAACAAATTCTTGTGAGGGGTGAGGACAAAAAAATTGTTGACACATTTTATGAAGTGTGGTCAGTTTGATCCATTAAACTAAAACTGTAGACCAGCTTAAGTCGACACTGAGCTCTGACAATCAAGCCCAGGGAACCAGTGAAGGAACTTGTATGAACTTACAGCGCAAACCGTCAGCAGACTGGGAAGAGTTTTGAGGGTTACGGTAAATGTTCAAGAGGGCAATGGTCTGAAATACAAAACGCAACAACTTTATATTATGGAAAAGAAATTTAACACGAAACTGGTTTCCTTTTGGTGATCACTTTAGCCGGGTCTCAGTGCTGAAAGAGAGGTAGTTATTTTCTCCCAAGAGGGGAAACTTTCACTTCGCTGGTGATCTTTCTGAATCAACCTAACACTGTAAACTAATAGAGATCTCATGATACTTGATTACTGTATTTTTACTTTAATAGTTACTTCGCTCACCTCCACTACAAATAGAGGTGTTTACATGAAGGCCAGTTACAAAGCTTAATATAATGAATGGCATGCAAGTATCATAGTCAAAGCTGAAACACAAGGTATCAGCATATTTAGATGTTTGATTTTGGCCTTACTGAACAATTAGTTAACACAATCCTTCAAAACATACTAAAACAGAAGAGTCTCTAATGTTTAATACAGTAATCATGGTACAGCATGAAATCTCCATTTCCTAAAGAAAGGAAAAGTGAAATAAAATGCAGTTTTGGACAACTTACCGTATATCATAAATATACCTAAGTTTTCATATTATATCAAGAATTTGAGAAATGCTTGCAATGTAATCTTTAAAAATGAATGGAATAAGTGACAGTTTTAACAGTTACAGGATGTAATGCTCATGCACTGTTCAAATGATTATGAATCAAGGAAGTCCAATTAGTTTATCTTTTTATAAAAGTCACTTTCTGCGCTTTATAAATATGTACATTTACCAAGTTCTTGATATATGCGCAAGAAGAGTTCCATCACTTGTCCTGTTTGCAACAGCTTTATGTCAGCAGCTCAGAAGCCAACGTTATTTTCTCATAATTAGGAGTGGGCTCTTTAACACCATTCTTTAAAAAAATTTCTCCAACTGTGGGACTTACAGTGTGAGCCGTCAGCCGTCTGTGCACTGTTTTGGGGATTACGATAGATGTTTTGAATCAAGATGGTCTGCGGGGAAAAAAAATAAAAAGGGGAATTCTACTGGCTGCTGTGCATATAATAGACAATTGCAAAGAGACAACTATTCATAAGATATTTCCTTTTGTGTTTGTAGAGATTCTTCTGAAACTGCATCCAAACCATCATATTATGAAAACAGTTTTTCATTAACCACCAAGAAAGACTTGTGTTTCATTTCCCGTAATGAACTGTCCCAAGAATATTTACTAAAACTGTTCGTGGAGATGTATATGACATCCTGCGTCTGAAGTACATCATCTATGCACTTCAAGCAGATTCCCAGATTCATCTTAATTTAAACCAAAATCATAACTATGAGCCTAGAACACCTGCATGTGCATCATTACACAGCATGTGATGCCATACAGTCTTTAAACTGTTGCCTCAGATAAAAAAAAATTTCATATTGCCTTATGAAGCAGTTTCTTGGTGGAATTTCTGTTTAAATAATATAATAGTTGAAAATGTTCACGTTTTCCGATCCTTCAATAAAGATCAATATCCTTTTAGCCCTTCTGCTTTTTACTTGAAGAATAAGACCAGGCAGACTTGAAACCATACATTTGTACCGTTCTTCTTAAAATCAAGTTGTCTGAAAAAACAAACCATGTTTAAGTTAGTAAACTAACATTACATAAAAGTCCAATGTCCATATCACTAATCAGCTCAAAGAGTTTTAGATTTAATTATTTAATATATAAGTTTAATGTTAGTTTCCATGAGTTTTCATCCCCAACTGAATTTAACTGGTGCAACACTTTGGTTTTTGATGCCAGCAAGAGATTAGAACCTTTTCAATCTTATTCAAACCAAATACTGATTTTATTTACACAGCAACCAAAGCAATATTTTCACCATCAGTGGCAACACAATAAAATAAGCATGGCAATAGCTCTCTATTAATAAGATCTGTTCCTCTATTTTCTATCACAGCTGATTACCAATATTTGCACAAAAACTTCCATAATCAACTTGTTACACATGTCAAATTCAGTAATGGTATCACAATCCAGTATGTGTATCAAGTCCAATGCCCTAAACACTAGAATGACTTCACATGACCCTTGTTAAGCTCAAAACTTCACTTCACCTGGCATTCTTTATCTCTGCAGCAAAAATCAAGAAGTAAATTGCCAGAGAGAAAATTGATGGCCCAGGTTAAGAAACAATTACTATTAAACTCAGGATTAAATAGTGACTTCTGAAAACATGTTTAAGTCAGACAGCATGGACGGCAAGAATCCATTAGATGTGTTGTTACTGGGCATCAGTGATAGAGTTAGGACTCAAACCTAAGTCTCCAGACAACTAGGCCTATGCTAACCCACATACATTAAACAATCGATTTGTAATCGGATAGAGGATAATACAAGTTAAGGAAAAGCCAACATGGATGTGTCAAGAACAAATCATGCCAAATCAACCAAATTTTCTTCTTTGACAAAATTACTGGATTAGTCGATGGAGGGAATCAGTAGCTATATCTGGATTTTGATACAGTCACACATAACACTCTCATAAAATTAGGAAAATGTGGCCAGGATGAAATACGATGAGTTGAAAGATCATATTTAAAAAAGTTATAAATGGTTCCTTGTCAAACTAGAAGGGCATATCCAGTAGGGTACCACAGGAGTTAGTCCTGGGGTCAGTACTATTTAACATTTTCATTAATGTCTTAGATAAATGGAGTGGAGAATATGCGTTAAATTTGCAGATGACAACAAGGTTGGGGGAGTTGCAAGCACGTGTGCGGACAGGATTAGAATTAATAAAACCTGGACAAATTGGATGACTGGTCCGAATTCAGCAAGAGGAAATTTAACAAAGGCAAGTGCAACATACTTTACTTGGGAAGGAAAACTCAAACCACAACAGAATTCAGAGTAACTGTGTAGACTGTACTGCTCTTGAGGATTGGGGTTACAGTGAATGACTCAACATTGTGATACAGTTGCAAAAAAGGCTAATATTTTGGGGTATGACGCAGGAGCATCATATGCAAGACAGAGTATCTGCCCCACTCTACTTGGCACTGATCAGGCCTCAGCTGGACTGCTGAGTCCAGCTCTGGACGCCATAATATAGGAAATGTGTAACAAATTGAAGAGAGCCTAGAGGTGAGCAACTAAAGTGATAAAAAGTTTAGAAAGCTGACATCTGAGGAAAAGAATAGAGAAATACTGGGCATGGTTAAGAGGGACCTGAAATTAGTCCCTCCTAAACAGGAGGAGGGATCTGAAGTTAGTCTTCAACTATGCACTGGACTGTTATAAAATCAAACATGATCAACTTTTCTCCATGTCCCTGGTAGTACAAGTACCAATGGACTTAATCTGCAGCAAGGGAGATTTAGGTTAGGTAATAGGAAATATTTGTTAACTGTGTGGGAATAAGCTTGGGAGTAAGCTTCAAGAGCTTGTGGAATCCCACCCATTTGCTGTTTTTAAGAATAGGTTGACAAACACCTATCAGGGTTGGCCTAAGGATTATGTGGTTCTCCCTCAGCATAGGGAGCTAAACCTGACCACCTCAGATTCCTTCCAGTCTCTTTTTATTAATCTATACTACAATATTAAAAGTTTTTAAAAATACACATTTATTTGCTGACCACTCTCATCAGCATAGCTATGTTTGTAAGTGGAATTATACTGCAGCTTCCTAAAATGGGAGAAATCTATTGTAGATGAGATATTAAAAATGGTCTCTCCAGGTCACGGTTGAGGCATATTAGCAAGGCACTTTCACTGTTGTACATGCTGCTTTCCTGTAGCTAAATAGCTGTAAATACAGGAGCTTTCATAATAAATGAGAAATCATCTCTTTACCTGCATATCTTGACAATCAGCAATGATAGAAAACAAAGTCAACGTAAGCTGGAGTTTAAATGTGGATATTTTCCAGGAGCATGAAAAAAGTTCTTTGAGAGAATTGTACTGTTAATAAACTGAAAATGTCAGCCAGTGCCCCCCTCTCTTTTTAGCCTATATCCACTCCTCATGTCACAGGTAGCATTTAACTAGCCATGGAGTGGGTAATATATAGAACAAATTGTTAAGAAGCTAGACAAGTAGAGAAGAAGTTCTCCCACTCTTAATAGGATATACAAATGACTTTTACTTTAGGCCAGACATCAAGACTGGATGGGGGTGGAGAAACTGTTCTGACCAGCAAATGTGTTAAAGTCTTGGAAATTTTCCCATTTGGAAGGGGTAGAACATGTTGCCACTGTTTGTAATATAATCAATTTGGGATCGTTTAAGTGCCTAGACATCACTGAGAAGCCACACACCTTAGTTAGCACTCTCTGGTGTCTACTCTAGATAAGCTTACAATAGTATTGCTCCAGCTACCGTTATGGTGATATGAAATTGGGGAGGAAATGGGAACACTGCCTCCCAAAGGGGAATTTTTTTTGGCCTCAGTAACATTTTGGAATATGGTAATTATTAGAACCCTACATTTAAAGAGATATGTATATAAATTTTACAAGAAGGAACAAACCTGGCTAAATGTTGGTTTATTGTGCAACCGAGAACATCTGTCCCCATGACGGCAAGCTCCAATTTTGAAATAAAATGAACAGTTGACTCTGCAAGTTAAAAATAAGAGAATTAGTTAATGAAAATATAAGGTAAGGCTTTAATACACAATTAGCATTTAATATAAAATGCATGTTATCAACTTAATTTTAATGCACAATTACAAAGGTCAAATCAATGAAATCCAATCAAGTAATGGGACTGGTTAGTTTATAATGATTCTCCCTCATTCATGGCTTGAGAAATCTTCTGAACTCCAAGCCAATCAAGAGCACGAAGAGCAGCAGCAATCCAAAGTACTTAAGTGTACTGGTTCAGTACCTTATTGTTATATTCACCATCAGTAAGAAAATATTCTCAATTGTAGGATAACCATTTTGCCATTTTTTCCCACACAATATATAGCTCAACATCCTGCTGGCTCACAATGAAACATACAAACTGAACACACAGTACAGTAAAACTCCAGCTGTCTGGCATCCAGTGGTCCAGCACTCCCAATAGTCCAGCACCAACTGGAACCCAGAAGTGCTCTGGACAGCCGGACAATTGGAGCTGCTCCATGCTACTTCCTCAAGTCCGCCTCTGCCGCTGCTGAAACTGATCAGCTGCGGACCTGGGGAAGCAGTGTGGAGCAGAGCAGCTGGGGTGCTGCAGGGTTGGTCCCACAGCACCGCCCCTCACCTGAGTGGTGCTGCGGGACCAACCTGGCAGCACCTGAGCTGCTCTGCCCTGCTGCTTTCCCAAGTCCACCGCTGCTGCTTGCAGCCCCAGCTGGCCTTTAGCAGGCGGCTGCACAGGGCTTCCCCTGCCTCCCTGCAAAAAGATGGAGGGTTCGCCCCACACCGCGCCGTTCCCCGCTGACCCTCTCTGCCCTCCGCCGGACGAGTGCGGTCCAGCAGACCCATCACAGAGGTATAATCCCCTTACTTTCTCCTCCCTCTGTCAGGTTGGTCCCGCAGCGCTACCCCTCACCAGCACTTGGTTCGCCCCATGCCACACCGTTCCCTGCCCAAACCTGCCCCCCTCCCCCTCCCAGGACCCATCACAGCCCCCCTGCCGGAGTATCTCCTGATACTCTGGCATATCTGATAATCCGGCGCCCCCTGGTTCCCAAAGGTGGCGGATTATCGGAAGTCTGCTGTAGTTCTTCTTTCACAAACACAAAGAACTGTTAGACATAGCCTTGACTATTTCTCTTTAGAATCAACAATTTGTACCACAGTAGCATAAACTGCCCGTGAACCAATAAGAACTTCATTCGTCTACTTAAAAGGACTTGGTTATGAAATATAAGCACAGGCACTAGATAGTACAGAGCAGGAAGAGTGAAAACTCCAAATAGGGGCTATATATGTGTACAATATGAATTCAGACAAAAGCAACATCACTTTGCCTTAGCCAAACACTCAAAATTTACAAATCTGTTTCTTCCCATTTCTTTTTGTCTTGCTGAAAAGGAGACAAACTTGTTACTGGCTATGTCTCCACAATCCCCCCACCTTAACTGTAGGATGTTCACTACAGTGACAAAAAAGCAGAACTTAATTTGTAAATTTCACTTTGTAGTGCCAGTTGCAAAGAGCTCAGAGGAACAGAGTGAAAAGCACTTAATTCTAAGGGGCTGTGCATAACACATTGCAAGTTGACACCAATAATTTTAATAAATTACTATTTATAGTTATAATTACAGGCATGGAATAAATCTGAAGTGCACTAACGTGCCTATCTGGGCTTATAAGCAGCAATGTACCATCAGATCACTGCATGAAACATTCAATACATTTTAAAAATTACATTTTAATTCTCACCTGACTTGTACCTAGAATTTAGATTGATCTAGCATTAAACTTCACAGCCCTGAACAATCTGGCTAGGTTGACTTAACCCCCCCTGTAGTCACAGCTGGATTGATGGAAGGATTCTTCCATTGACTCAGCTGCTGCTTCTCAGGCATGGTCTAGACCAGCAGTGCACAACCCGTGGGTAATGACCCCCAAGAGGGTTGCAGCTGTCTTCCAGGGAGAAAAAGGGGGGGGGGTGTCACAGAGCTGGGCCGGCCACCTTTTTTTCCCCCCCCGCAGTGCGGTAGGCGGCATTTAAAGGGCCCCCGCTTTTTTTTTTGCTTAACCAAAATTTTCCCAGGGTTTGCTCCAGGAAAAACGTTGTGCACCACTGGTTTATACCACTGGTTCAGAAACCCTGGTCTGTGTACCTTTAGGGGTACTCGAGAGAAGTCGGGGGGGGAGAGGGGTACTGTCAACAACTGAAAATTGCAGAAAACTGACTTGTTTTAAGTTTACAGCTCTTTATTATTTTAGTACTTTACACACCCAAAAATATCATCCCCCACCCAGCTACGATTAAGTTGTTTAAACAAGTGTGTTGCAATGGCAGAAACATTTTGTGTGTGTCTGAAAACTGTAGGTAGTTGGGGTACTTATTTTTCTGTAGAAAAGGGGTACTATATGAAAAAAAGGTTGAGAAACACTGGTCTAGACTCTTCAGTGGCTGTCAACCTTTCCATAGTACTGTATCTCTTTCAGGACTCTAATTTGTCTTACATACCACAAGTTTCACCTCACTTAAAACTACTTGCTTACTAAATAAGACATAAAAATACAAGTGTCACAACACAGTATTACTGAAAAATTTCTCACTTTCTCGTTTTGTCAGCTTTACATTTTAGTCTGTACTAATTTTACTAATGCTTTTTATGTACCCTATTGTACAACTAGACAAATATGAAGACAAGTTGATGTATGCAGAGGTCTTCCAAGAGTACATGTACCCCTAGCTGAGAACCACTGGTATATACAAACAACTTATGCTGGCAAAACTAAGTAGTTCAGGGGATGTAGAAAACTCCCTGAGTAACACAGCTATACCAAATAGAGATATAAAAGGTTAGCCAATTTACCCCCAATGGGTGAGGCCTACCTGTAACCCGTAGGGGTTGGAGCAGCTCACTGTCTGTGTTGGACAGGGAGCTGCTTCCACCCTGCAGCCCCCGCCCGCCACAGCAACATATCTGTAGCGGCCAGGCCCACCCCTTCCCTTGTGCCACAGGTTACACGCTGGCTCTCCAAAAGGGGCCTGCACTCAATAGTGATGTTAGTGGCCAGTCAGATGTTTAACTGATAAGCAATTGCTTAATGGTCCCAGTTAACTGCAACACCCCCCTCTCCCTCCGTGCTCTGCATTTAAAACTTAGACCATCAGGCTGTCTTAGTCCCAGTCCATGGGTCTGAGTTTTCAATGAAGAGCATGCAGAGGAGCAGCCTATCACCCTGCACTGCTGTCACACAGCACATGGCGGCAGTAGCCCCTGTCTGTGGGAGCCCAAGCTCCCCATGGACAGAGGCTGCTCCATGGGATGCAGGAGCAGCCTCTGTCCCCAGGGAGCTTGGCCCCCTATGGGCAGGGGCTACGTGCTGCTGCCTCTGATACAGAAGCAGCAGCAAGAGGCGGCAGGCAGGAGACAGTTTAAAAACTGGCTCCCCTTACGGACCAACTTCCGCCTGCCAACCCTTGCTGCTGCTTCCACCTATAGAGTGGCAGAAGCGCAAGGTGGCAGTGGACTCTCGGGAGTGGCGTGAGAACCACATTGGCTGCCAGCACTAATGCTGGGGACAATTGAATAATTGTATAACTGCTAAATTTCTTAGCAGTTACACAATTATTAAAATAACCAGGTGGCAGTGGACTCTCAGGAGTGGCGTGAGAACCACATTGGCTGCCAGCACTAACGCTGGGGACAATTGAATAATTGTATAACTGCTAAATTTCTTAGCAGTTACACAATTATTAAAATAACCACTTTCTAACATTCCTAGCTCTGAGGGAGCCAGCTGTAGAACTTGCAGTGAAACCACCTCCCTAACAAGGGCTGCGGCGGACCCTGCCCCTGGGGAGGCTTTGAGGCTACACCAAAGCGTCTTCCCCAGGCTCTGAATTATAAAGCTTATTAAGGTTTTAAACTGCAGAGCCTGTAGTGCGTGTAACTGCTCTGATTTTTAGCGGTTACATTTCTAAATGAATTTTTACATCCCTAGCTATTATCCTTAAAGGGTGATGTTTACTGGTTCCAGTTAACCTGTGACCGTCTGGAGCAGCTCCCCACCTGTCCTGGCAGGGGGCTGCTCCAGCCACTACAGACAGAGGCTCAGCAATCCTTGCTCAGGGCAGGCCTGGGGAGCGGGCTGCAGGCACGGTTGCTCAGGCCAGGCTGGAGTGGACCCTGCCTGCAGTGGGAGCATGGGCACTGGAGCCCCTACTGGGCTGAAGCGCCCCCACTTAATTGGTTAACTGGTATACTTCACACTTAACTGATTAAACATCCTTAACACCAACCTAACTTCTTATGCACTACATTTCTGGGAGAGCATCTCTGTCTTTTGTGATGAATTACCTACACAAACAGAAGCTCCCTCCCACTGGTGTAGATACCTTCTTCACTTAAGTGCTCCAGTGACACAGCTACACCAGTGTAGTTGTACTGCTACCCCATTTTAAGTATAGACAGCCCTCAGAAATGGATATATTACAGCAATGGAAAAACTCTGCTCATTGCTGAAGTTTGTCTCTACGCTACAGTAGTATAGAAATACCTTTAGATGCATATCTCTTTTAGATGACTGAATTAGGTTTTTAGCTTTGGATTCAAAGTCAAGTATAAAATTTATAATAATGAATCACACCACACCCCCTACAATTTCAACTCCAGCCACAGTTCCAAAGCCAATTTCCAAGTCTCCTCACTGAGAATAAAAGGGACTGATGCGGGGGGAGGGGAATCATGCTCAGGCCTAAAGGGATCACAAATGTTTGCACAAATTAACATTAACCCATTCTGTCAGGTAGGCAGCAACGTCAGCAAAATTCAAACGCCACACGTCATTCTACCCTGAGAAAAAGAGGGGAGAATGACAACGAGCCATCAAAAATCCACTGGAGCAATGACAGAATCGATGCCATCACCCACTTCCGTAAAAACTAAGTGTGTGTTGTTTTTATTGAAAACAAAAGGAGAAAAAACCCCGCTGGCCTGGGGGCCGCACGCATGAATTTTCCAGACACA